TTCTAAATAACTGAAACCATAATAATTAAATGGAATCTTAAATCTTATACCAACGTGTGTATGTACACATGTCTTACCCCGTGATGAATTTTAGGGCCAATTGGCTTAAGAGAAGGAATATCAGCCTTACTCTCAAAATGCTCGTCTGTTAAATTACAACAACTATGCATTTGGACTAGTTCATTGTACATGCCTCTGAGATCATTTGAATGGCTCCTTTTCCTTGTATTAAGTGTGAATTCAGCTCCTAACTTCTGAAACAATTATAAAATACTAGTTATTTGTAACAAGAAATCGAGAAAAAGGAAAACAATTACTTACTACCTTGTATACTTCTTCCAGGTGTTTGTAAAGCAAATCCTGCATTTCTTGCGTCCATCCAACCGCGTCGAGAAGGTATGAACAGCGTAATAGGATACTATCCAGCTCAAGATCATAGCGCTGTTCACAAGTTCATAGGAAATAATAAGAAGAAAAGAAAACGAATTCACACGAAACAATAACAATAGTCTAGTTCTAACTAACTAACTGATAATAATCTACTTACCCCGACCAAGTATTTCTTCCTCTTAATATCCTTCTCAAAGTTTTTGAGCTCTATGATTTTCCAATGGCACTCGTCACACGAACACGCCTCATGAAAATCACGAGATTTTGAGAAAAGGTGACTAAAACTTATCTGATATTCTTCTTCCATATAAGCTCGCACATCGGTCACCAAACACGTGTTCATCAATCTGATTTAAGTTGAAAAAAAAATATTATTACCATTATTATTATAATAAAGAAAGTAGCAAACAAAATACAACTTTTTCTTTTTTGCAGTCAGTCACACACACAACAGTCACACACGATAAAGAAAGACCAACTAAAATCTACAAATAGTTACATTACACACAAGGTATCATAGTTCATACCTACACAACATATTATATTATTAGCCATACCAGTGACACCACGATCCACATCAATAACAATAACAGATGACAGCCTCAACGATTTTTGACATTTACAAAATTTCATTACAACTTGTGTGTGAGCAATGTCACAAATTCAAAGTGCTCACAGTTTGCTCAGACATATAAAATTTCAGTTCACATAGGCATATAACTGAAGAAGAACTAAACAATAGTGGCCTACACGAGCAGATATGACTGAAGTACTGAACTATAAGTTCCTATAATTCCTTTTCACTAGAAAAGATCCAATTTTTAACACATAACTATTAACTAAATTAAAACTTCGAACATTTACTGAATTAATTTGCTTCCAATAAATTCTATACCCTTAAATCATGATTCAACCAACAAAGCTAGCCTAATTCAGATCCCCCAAACAAGAAAAATGAAAGCTTTTGTCAGTCAAAGGAGAAGCCCACGACCCCTGCAAACATCAAGCAACTCAGATTCCAAAATAAACAAGCAAATATGTCTAAGAATTAAATTCTTAAACTACAATTACTTACACGATCACTGAACCCACAACCTGAATCTCAACACCAACGAAAAAAAAAACCTTTACGCAACAATCAGTATCCAATTTAACCCGTCAAACACCAAAATTCGGACTGAGATCAAAAAGAAAGAAAAATACATATCTGTCGGAATCTAGGAGAAATCCGAAGGCCCCCAACAAAATCAATCCAACCGAAGAAGATAAAATTAAGAAGGAAAATAAAATTTTGATCTTTGGCTTGGCGGTAGTGTTTGGACCTGAAAAGAAGGCGTTCTGAGGGCTCTTTGTTTAAATGAAACAGTGAAAGGGGTCATTTATTTAAATGACCCTTTCAATATTGTTTTTGTTTAAGTAATCTCCTCTTTAAATAAAGATAAATAAATATTTGAAATACCTAAAATACCCTTATGTGTTAAATGTTTATAATGTCCTTCTTCTATTTTTGGTTACCAACTTTGTAATTAAAAAAAAAAGAGCAGAATTTGAATCGCTTCTTGCTTTTCTCTCGCTGGTTTCTCTCTCGGTCGCTTCTCTCTTTCGCTTGCTTGCTCCTGTCTCTCTTGCTCTGATTCTCTTGAAAATGTGAGAACAAAATATGATCATTACACATAAACTTTTAATTCCATATTGTAAAAAAATGTGGTGATGGTAAATAAAGCATGTTAGGGTTTGTTGTTATTTTAGAGATAAAGCATTTTGGTTCATATTTAATGATTGATAAACATGTTGGTTTCATATTTATCATGTTTTTGTGGCACTGAGGTTTTTTTTTTTAATTTTTTTGTACATAACGAATGTACAGTCGTTATGTATTTTCATAACGAATGTACATTCGTTATATGAAGAACATCTCATAACGAATGTAGATTTGTGATCTAATTATTTCATAGCGAATGTAGATCCGGTATTTGAGGTTTATTTCATAAGGAATGTAATTTCGTTATGACATATCCCATTGTTTTTAATTATGACATATCCTAATGTAGTTTCGTTATGACATAACGAATGTATTTTCGTTTTGACATATCCCAATGTAGTTTGGTTATGACATATTTCAATGTAGTTTCGTTATTATACTTTGATATGCATTTTGGTTTCATTTTGGTTTCACCCTTTGACCAATGATACCGATTGGATAGTTCCAGAAGAAATTATGTCAAGAATTGTGTTGCCATCACCACCACGACGTCCAAGGGGCAAACCTACATTCGAAAGAAAAAAATCGGCAGGTGAGGCTCGAAGAAAATCAACTACTAAACCTCGCCAAATTCGTAAATGTAGTAGGTGTTCCAAAGTCGGTCATAATCGTGGATGATGTCCAGAGATTAACCTCAATGAAGCAACTTGAAGTTATATTTTGATTAGTGTATTGCTTTTAACTTATAGGGTTTTAATCTTTTTGTATAGTGTTTTGACTCGGCCATATAGTGTTTTAATTTTTGTTTGTTGTTTTTGATGTGTTCACCAATTCATTAAAGTGGGTTGCTAAAGCTTGAAATTATATTTTTAATTTGTCTTGTGTTTAATTTTTTATGTGTATCCAATGTAGTGATTATTGAAAATATTAAGGGTAATTGATTCACCTAATATACTTATTGAATAATTGTTATAGGAAATTTGGAAACAAACGACTATAGTCTCGTTTTATAGTATTATATAGTAGTATTACATTAAAAAAGGTTAAAATTATAAGTATAACGAATGTACAGTCGTTATCAAGTATAAAATAACGAAGGTACCTTCGTTATCATTATCGCGGGCGCGACACTGAAGGTAAAGATCCGTCGGGCAGAGAGCTTCCCAGGTTGTCGCGGGCGCGACAGTCTGCTTTTTTTAAAAAAAATGGAAAGATCATGTAATATCTTTGTAAATTCGTTATTTTAACTTAAAAATGACCAAAATTAGACATATAACGAGTTCAATATCTTTATAATGTATTATATGACGAATGCACAGTCGTTTAATGTGGATTTGATAGAAAAACAACCATAACGAATGTGCATTCGTTATGTTTTTCGATACAAACGCACTTTCTTTATGGTTTTTTCGATCGAATTACTTGACAACGCATGTATATTAATGTTACATGTCATCGGAACGATAGTTTGAAGGTGTTAGAGCGTCGAAACACTCACAACGAAACTCTTTTTTGAAATAACAATACTTGTTTTTCTTTTTCTTTTTTTTTTTTTAAATGGAAAGATCATGTAATATCTTTGTAAATTCGTTTTTTTAACTTAAAAATGACCAAAATTAGACCTATAACGAGTTTAATATCTTTATATTGTATTATATGACGAATGCACGGTCGTTTAAGGTGGATTTGGTCGAAAAACAACCATAACGAATGTGCATTCGTTATAGTTGTTTTTCGACATAAACGCGCTTTCTTTATGGTTTTTTCGATCAAATTACTTGATAACGCATGTATATTAATGTTACATGTATATTATCCCTTACTCGGAGGCTTACTTAAATCTTTCGTTTTTGTACTCCACTCGTTCCTTGAAGGTCCAATTAATTACTGTATAGGCATATTGGAAACCGTTTGGCAAGTCAAGGGACCTTGAAATCCGCTTCTTAGCTATAACGTTCCAGAGTCATGCAGAACAGACACCAACCGTTCTTCTTTTGGATGTTCCAGAAACAAATGACCACCCAGCCCGGAGGCCTTAATCATGGTGGATTTTTTTCTTCGACCACTTGCCCACCTCAAAAAGAGATGTTCCAAAAACATCCCTTTTCATGGTGGATTAAAACCGGTCTAGTATATAATATCCTATATCAGTTGTCCAAAGAACAAATCACTAGATAAAATTCTACAAATAGGAAACTTCTTCTCTTTTCCTTATTTCTTTATATAAAAATTATTTATTTTTTATCAATCATCTCATATATAACCTACATCCACTACATAAATGTCTTAAGAAATTCAATGATAAATCCAACATAGCTCGAGCTGCTTTGTTGACCCCCATTCAACAAAAGTCAAAGGCTTGCAATTATGGATAGTAACCCGAGTTTCCAAAACCAATATCTGACCTGAACCCAGTACAATCGATCGAAAAATTCTCCTCGAAATTAGGTGAGCTCGAAGTAGAAGTCATGGATGGAAATATTGGGCTTGTACCATTACCGGATATTGCCAACAAGTCCGACCCGAATGTTGCAGGGGCCAAAATATTATCATAATCTCCCAAAATGTTGTCACAATCCGAAAAAATGTGGTCGTTTTCGGAATTATCAGTAATCGTTGGTGGCAAAGTGTAGTTAAATGGGTCTTGTTGGGGTGAAGATGGGCCTTTTAGTAAGTGGTGTACGTTTTGGGCTGATGGGCTTGGGTCTTCGTTTTGTGGATTGGGACGTGCTTCAGGTGGGTCGATATTAGTTGGGTTTGCACATGGGTTGCACGTGTGCTTCCGTCTGTATGTGACGTGGAAAATTGTTGGGTCGTCGTCGGATATTTGAACTTGTTTTGTGGCTGGACACCCCAGCCCAGGCCTGTGGGTACATCTGTAGTACATTCTGCATTGGGAATTTCTATATTAATAAAAAATAAATAAATACATTTTGAGATGATTTTCCACACGAAAGAAATAATTAATCAATAACGTTTTTTGTTTATTATGATTTTAATTTTCTCATCAATTATTTTTTCCAAGTGGATCATGAGGCATTTTAATCATTACAATCTTACTTTTTTCCTTAAAGCATCGAGAAAAGCAATTGCCAACATCAATTATATATATTTTTCATTACTCCAATGTTTTTGTTTTTATCTTGTTGTGTTAATAAATTTCATTATTACAACCAATCAATTCCGATCATTTTTTTTAATGTTTATGTGAAAGACATATCTCATTAAAATTAGTTGTTCTCACCAATATCATTTAGCTATAAAATATTTAAAAGAAATAGGTATACATTTTTAATCTCATTACCCAATTCTAGGTCATAGCAAAGTTTTGGCTAAGGAAGTTTATAGATTACATGTATAAAAAGTAAATAATCGGTGATCGACGAGGACAGATGAATACGTCAATAATGCGATTATGAGATATGCGTAATTAAGAACACCCGGCTTAGACAAACTGAACACATGCTTTTTTCAAAATTCTAGAGATCATAGGAACGGTTTTGCCTATGACTCATACATCGTCTTTCGGCTGTGGTTAAAACTTTTTGAACTCCATGAGTAGTTAATTGTTGACGTTTTTGCACCAAATATGTCGAAAGTTGAGTGCAACACATTTATTGTTTAGCAATGCAATGTGTTTGATAAATGCAGTACTTATTTTAGACCATATCACTAGTAATAGAGCCCGAGGATTGTAATTTTGTTCTTATGGAATGTGGAAGAGTAATGCAATTCCAAATCAAGTCCAGTTTAGATGTACAATTAGTAGAAAATGGAGCCAAGTAAATTGAGTTTGAAACTATTTTATCCAATTTTAGAATTTCACATGCACAAATTAAAATTTAAAGACAATCAATTAGGTGGGAGAATTCCACGCTCACACACACCAATATATGTGTGTTTCGATGTAACGGTAAAAAATTCAATTTTGATACAATTTTCACCGGCCTCTTACCATTAGACCACAAAATTATGCACACTCACATGAGTATGTTTGACCAGACGGTAAAAAATCTGTAAAGAACAGGTATACACGAATTTTCAACACAAATATTTGATTACAAACTACCTTGGATAATTGGATCCGAGAATGTCTTTCTGGCCGTACTTCCTCCAGCTGTACCCATCGTCGAGTTGTCCCTCAATCCCAATTTCCGGGGACACTTTCATCTTTTCCGACCAGTTTGCCACGGTCGTTCTACAAATAGTATCCGAATTAATTATATTGAACTTGTGACATTTGAGAAAAAGTAAAATTTTGACCATCAATCCATTTATATGAACCAAATGTAATTTTGAAACAAATTATATATAAATGCAAATTAAGCAACCTTTTGCCATAAGAAGGTTGACCCTTGTTGGGATCACCTTGATCCGAGTCATTACTACCGGTCGACTTGGCATACTCTTGGTTCGAGCTAGCCGAAACTGGAGGAGGGCGGTGGTTTCCGAGCATGGAGAGTGCTCGATCGTAACAATGGAGTATTCTCGGAAGAAAATGGTCGTAATCTTCGCAATCGGGCCGCGTGTTAAGACGGTTTTGCAGCTGTACGGCTTGTTCCCTGCCTTGAGATAGCTCGTTTATCGCATTCTCTAGGTCATCATTCGAAGGGAAATTCTCCATTTTCTAGCTGAATTTGGTGTCTAAAAACTAAAAACCATGCAATTTTACTAGTTGGAAAAGATAAATAGCTTTGATCTAACTTGAAACTATAAATTTAAGAACATTAAAATTTAAAAAAAAAAAATAAAAAAAATTGATCAATCTACTATATAGATTTGATATATATATATATATACACATATGGACACAGGTAGAGTAAATGAAAAACCAGGGGAATCAATTTTATTAGGGGTTTTGAATGAGAAAAATTGAGGGAAAGGGGATAATAAAATTATCAAAAAATACAGCAAAAAAGTGTAGAGTATTTTGACTAAGGTGAAATGAGAGATTGTGAGTTCAGCTAATTGGCTGGTCTTTGGTCAAATTGTATTTTGAGGCAAATCAAGTCAAACTGTGGACCATTAAAACTTACAAGGGGCTAAAAAGAAAGGGGTCCATATATTTACATTTTACTTTTAAATAGAACAAAATATTAGGAAATGAAACACTCTCTCATTAAAATTGGTGTCAAATAATATTTATCACAATGGTAAGAACCAAAATCAAAATTCATCCAAAAAGATTATAACTAAGTGTTCTTTGATGCTATGTGTGGCACTGATAATGTGCATCGTGAAATTGCTGTGAATGATTTGAAAAATAAAGAGCTAAATTTAAAAATCAAGAGAGAAGATTGTGAAACATTTCACGAGATAATAAGGTTGCAATTGGTTACAACAATTTTTACTTTTATTTGTTTAATTAAATAGTTATCTCATTCAAACAAGTAATAAAATGTTTTTTTTTTTTTACAAACTTTCTTATTCATTTCATCTGACTTTTTGCTATATAGTCATANACTCTTCCATCTCTATTTTTGAAATCAAATATCAGTTTTTCTTCAATTAATGAATATTAGTACGACACCCGTGTACTACACGGGTTGTTTGAAAAAAAATATATAAAACATAAAATAATTTACGTCTAAATTTTTTATTATAATATTAAGCAAAAAATTCTATTTATTTTTTATTTTGGTATTTCGTGAATTACGTCTAAATTTTTTATTATAGTATTATGCAAAAAATCTTATATTTACGTGGCATATAAGATAAGAATCCTATTTATTTTTGGAGCCTATTTATTTTAGAGTTGGAGGGGATCAGATTAAACAAAAATCTTATTTATTAAGTATTTTATTTTAAACAATTAGGGAATGTATCCGAACCAAAAGCCGAATCATGTAATGCTGCCAAGTAAGCTTCCGAAGCGTGCGAGGTAGCCATTTAGGCTCAACACTTTTTCAAATTATATTAAAAAAAGGGATGTAGGAAGTTATATGTAGAGTATACTATCATGGGTTTATGGCGCAGGAATCCACTATATTTATTTAAAATTGCACATTTTTATTTATATTTGAAAAAATGTGTGAAAACCTTATATTGCAAATAGTTATACACACGCTTTTGATGCAAAAGATATTTAATTTTTTTATTATGTATTTATTCAAAATTGTGATTTTTTTTCTCTATGTTTTTGAAAAAATGAGCAAAACTCTCTTATTTAACTAATGTTGCACGCTTACCCATTTCTTTAGTTTTTTGTTCTACATAATTTGTAATTTATTATCATACATTCTGAGATTATTTGCACAAAATAAATCACTACAACACCCTTTATAGTTTTATTTGCAAAATAAAACAATTTGTTGAGATTCAAACCCAACTTACACAAGAAGAAGCTCGATTATCCAAACACCCCAACGTAAAACTCTATGGTCAAATTATTGTATATAATATCATTTATTAAAAAAAATATGAAAATACATAAATAAATAATAAATGATAAAATAGAATAAAATGTGATATAATCAAATGAATTAAAAATAAAGCAAATTAAAATTTATTTATATATTTGTTGTTTTATTTATAAAAATAGATAATTTATGTTTTTCTAATTGATTATATCTATTAATTTCCATCATTAATATTTCAAAAATAATAAAATAAAATAATATTAAAATTAAAAATTATATTGTAATTTAATAAATGAATTTAAAAATACCATAATTTAAAATTAAGTTTTAAAATTGCATATTTTATTTAGAAAATATCTAATTTACACAATTGTAGTTAATTATATTTATTATCTTTCAATAGTAAAAATTTGAAATTAAAATTAAAATAAATACTATTTATCAAATTGTACTTTATAAAATAAAATAAAACAAATACTAATTTCGCTAAATAAATAGGGGTGCCATATATTTTATCCTATTATTATGAGAGTATTTTATCTCTCGTAATTTTTCCCAATAGATTATCATTACACTAATTTTCTCATCTAAACTAAATACAAGTTATCACCAAATAAAAACGTGGTTTTAATTAAAAATACAAACCCTTTAAACACATTGTGGAATGCTTTAATCCTCACTTAAAGCCAATAATTATGTTTTTCGTTACTTGTGACATCCTTGGGTTAATTTATGACATAATGTATTTTTATTTTCTTATGCTAATGACTAAATCAGCTGTGACGTGATAGATGATACGTTAATTTTGAAATTAGAATTATAGTATTTTCAATGCTCAAATATTGTTGTGGTAAATTACATTCTACATCATTATATTTAGTAATATCACATCTTTTCATCCTTCAATACAGGGTTGGCTATTTGGGGAGGCAGCTTAGGCCCATGCCTAGGGCCTCCATATATTTGGGGCCTCTTTTTTTTTTTTTTTTAATATTATGTATTTGTGTTGGATTTGGCCTATTTCACAAATGAAGAGGCTAATGGCTAAATATAGACTTGCCTAAGGGATTAATGGAAAAATATGTACTTTGTGTGGAAATTTGAGGCCCTAAATATTTTATTTGTTTTCTTATGATGTTCGGTCATAACAATTTTGTGAGAATAAATAATCTTTGCAGTGATATGGTTTTTATTTTCTTCTTCTTGTTGTCCTTGTGACTGCTTGAATGTAATCTCATAGGTAATTTATCAAGTTCAAGGTCTAGAAAAAGAACAAAATCATTTTTTTTTTCAATTATTTATTTATTTAATAGTCTTGTTTAATTAGATATTTTTTTTTCTTCTATGATTCAATCTGCAAATAGCTCTAATTACCACGCAAGTTCAAAGTGGGAAATTCGAAAAGGACAAACTTGTCTGGGGCCTCCAAATTTTTGGAGACAAACTATAAGATAATTTATACTTTTATTTAATTTTTTTATTTAATTTGATAAATAAATATAAATTTATTTATATATATATATATATATATATATATGATGTGGTTCAAATAAGAACCAAGTCCTAGCGTGAGAACCGCTATTTATAGTTGCAAGTAGTGCTATAATTTATTGTGTTTTAATGCTATTTTTAACATGAATTTATTTTCTTAAAAATAGCAACACAATTTATATTAGTATTTGTGAAAATGATAGTGATATGGGATATTATATAATTGAGGAATTGACCGGTTTGCATCATCGGTCAAGCAACCTCGAAGTGAAGAAAACCGGATTGGTAGAAGGATGATCGACCAAAAAGAAGGAGATCGAGCAGAATAGCAGTACTGGTCGAGGATCGACCAAGAGGAAGAAGATCGAGCAGAATAGCAGGACTGGTTGAGGATCGACCAGAAGGGAGGAGATCGAGCAGGATAGCAGAACTGATCGATGATCGATCAAAAGGGAGGAGATCGAGCACTCAACAGGTGAAGAGCAGTCTAGAGCGTGGCGTGAACGCGAGAAGGCGCGTGGATGATGTTGGAAGATCCCAATGGCCTGCGCAGAGGAATAATCTCCCTCAGCTTAGAGGGACACGTGGCGAGAATATATTGGTGCAGAGGGATAGTGGCGAAAGCCACCCCTGACATCTCTGACACACACACACTATGTGTGTACGGACGGGCAGTACGGGCAGGACAACTCACTAAAGCCGGGCAGTTTTTAGGGCAGGTATCTCACTCCTATATATATGGGAGTGGGTCTTTTCTTGTGACTTACGATTTATCCATTCTTTACTTTGAAAAATTGAACAAACACATTACTGACTTAAGCATCGGAGGCTCTTCACCGGAAAACCCCTCCGGTGTGAGAGTTCTGTGCAGGAACGCGGCGTTCTACCGGCGAGGAAGAAGGAGGCAAGCTGATTTCAAGCCGGTCGGAGTGTTTTGCGTTACCAGATAGCATCATGTGATATTAAAAATAGCATCATACACAATAAAAAATAGCATCAAATACGGTTCTCACGGTTCTCACACCAGGACTAGTTTTTATTTGAACCACTCCCTATATATATCAATGTTCTGTATTTGATATATGATATGGATGTCAAATTCAAAGATCGTTAAAAGATAATTAATTTGATATATCATATATGAAAAATAAAATAAAAAAAAAGTTAACAAATTTAAAAATAAGAAGAAAAAACATTTATAATAATTGATGTATATTAAAATAATTTATGGTAACTAAATGTAGAAGAAAATAAGAAAAAAACCAATCATGAATTTAATATGAAATAATATAGGCATTAAATTAAATCAAGATTAATTATTTTTATATAAAAAATATTAATTTATATCCAAGTCTGACTCCGAAACATGATTTTTTGCCACATAAGAATCCGAAACGTGAGAGTTTGCCACTTAATCTCAACGCATTCGGTAATTATATATAGGGGTGATTGGAGTTGCTCTTAGATGAATTAGGGATTCTATTTTTCTAAACTGAAAATTGTGAAAAATATATAAATGGTGTCTTTGGTGGATTCAATATTCATCAGATTTAAGGAATTAAAATCAAACTTTGAAGAAAAAATGTTGACTGGAAATTGGTATAAAAGAAAAATGAAAAAATAAATCAAAGATTCGGATTCCTTTCAGACCAACTCTTTAAGAATGGAGGAATATTCAAACCTTTGTTACGCGTAGCTGGTCGTCCGATTTTAAATAGTAACTATTTCTCTTCAAAAAAATCTATTTAACAATTTATGGTATATTTTAAATAAT